CTCTATTATTCAATCTATGATATCCTTTTTTTCCTTTTTTTCGTTCTATTCATGACAACCTCCATCCCCCCCCTCTCTCCTTTCTCTCTCACTCTCTCTCTCTCTCTTTCTCAGTCAGACAGACAGTTGTTTACGTCTCTCTATCTCTCTCTCTCTCTCCCTTTCTCTCCCTTTCTCTCCATCCCTCTCACCATCTCTCTCCCTCCACTATCTCCTCCCTTTCCCCATTCCCCCTCCTCCCCCCTCAAAAAAAAAAACAAAAAAAAAAAAAACCTCAACATAGAACCTGTTACGGAATTAACTTCTTATGAACTTCCTGGTCCCTCAAGCGATGTCCATTCAACCTTTCTGACTGGATTATATTCCTGAGATGGTAATGGAAGAGAGAAGGAGAGAAAGAGAGATGGAGGAGAGATGGAGGAGGGAATAGGAGAGAAGGAAGAGGAGTGGAGTGAGGGAGAGAAAGAGGGGGGGAGAGGGAGAGAAGGAGGGGAGAGAGGGAGAGAAGGAGAGTGAGGAGGAGGAGAGTGAGGGAAGGAAGGAGGAGAGAGAGGAAGAGGAGTGGAGAAGGGAGAAAAGGAAGGGAGAGGCAATGAGGAACGGATAGAGAACAAGAAAGAGAGAGACAAACAAATCAAGACAGATCATCACAGACAGACTCACAGATATAACCAAACAGACAAGCAGACAGACAGATCAGGCTAGATTACCCACAGACAAACAGAAAGACAGAAGGATCCGGCCAGATCATCCACAGACAGACAGACAGCCCGAGAGAGGGACAGGTGTTGTGGCCCCGCGTTGCCCAAGCTCGTCGAGGCCAGGGTCGGGAGTTGCAAAAGGCCCCCTCCCCCCCCGTCCCCCCCCCACGCCACCTGTGCGTCCGTAGACAAACCCGGAAAAAAACAAACCTAGGCAGTGGCTCTTTCAATGGGTGGTAGTTCTTTTAAATCTGCTAATGGGGGGTAGTTCTTTTAAATCTGTTAATGGGGGGTAGTTCTTTTAGATCTGCTAACGAAATCTACTGCACTGTTTCTCTTAAAATACTATTCACTTCATGTTTATTTTGTTTATTTACTTAATATCTATAAAAAATCTACTTATTACCAACGAACTTTTTTTTTACTTAATATCTACTTAATATTTACAAATAGGCTTACTCATTAAAAGGATTTCCTTAGAAGACAATACTTATTTGGACATTAATGAAAAAAAAATGCTAATGAAGTTCCTACCATAAAAGTCATACATATCAATAAGATGATTAAGCAACAAAACAAACAAACAAAATAGAAATAAACAACAACATCTTTAAAAGACTCGCACATATTACCATAAACAATAATATAAAGAAAAATTAACGCATAGAAGTTGCCATAAAAATAACAAACAGTGACATACATACATACACAGCATAAACGACAGCAATAAAAGAAAAATGTGTGCAGACGCATTCACACAGACATAAACTATAAAAAACAAATGACAGTCAATCCTATTCTACAAGAAAACCTTTACGAAAACAAAAGCAACACACACAAACCCGTATGTACACACACACACACACGCAACACACACGCAACACACACACACACACACACAAACACACACACACCACCTATTCACACACACATAAAACAAATAGAAAAGATCCAAAAAAAACCCCACCAACCCCCCTCCCCCCCTAACAACAAAAAACAAACAACAACAAAAAACAAAAGAAAAACGCAAAAAATAATTAATGAAAACCACGTGCAAAGTCGTAATAGAGCACTTCCTCCTTAGCACTCAAGTCCTCGCACGGGAAAGATGACGTCACGACACTAAATGATGATGAATGTGCGGTGGTGGCGCAGTCTGGGGAGGGGGGGGGTGAGGGGTATGGGGGTGGGAAGTGAGGGTATGGGGTTGAAGGGTATGGGGGTGAGGGGTATGGGGGTGAGGGGTGAGGGGTGAGGGGTATGGGGTAGGGGGATGGGGAAGGGGTTTGGGGTATCTATCGGTAAGGGTAGTGGGGGGTAGGGGGAGAGGAGGGGGGTGGGGGGAGGAGGAGGGGTAAGGATAGGGAGGGGCGGGGAAGGGTAGGGGTTGAAGGGAAGGAGAGAAAGAAGGAAGGAGGAGGAAGGAGGAAGTAGAATGAAGGAAGAGGAAGGAGGAGGAAGGAAGAAAGAGAATGAGGAGGAGGAAGGAAGAAGGAGAACGAGTGGAGAGGGAATTGCAAGAGAAGAGAAGGCAGAGAAAGGAATAAGGAAGGAGGAGGAAGGAAGAAGGAGAACGAGGGGAAGGGAAGGAGGAGGAAGGAAGAAGGAGAATGAGTGGAGAGGGAGCTGCGAGAAAAGGAGGCCAGGACAACTCCTAATTCCCCTTGGCAATGGACACGGGAAAGCCTGTCTAATTTCTCGCTTCTTGTCTTTCGCCATAAACTTGCTTTTTGAATTCCTCACGAAGCTCACCGTTTCTCTTTCAACAGCAAGAGATAGAGGGAATAATAATAATAAAAAAAGGAGAGAAAAAGGGAAAGAAAGATGGCTTAAAAACTATATCATTATCAATCCATCTATTTACTATCTGATTCAAAATTAATATCTTAATCTGCACATCTATCTACCTAACTATTTATCGAACAACATACCTACCAATCCATCTACCTACCAACCTACCTACCTATTTATCTATCTATCTATCTCTCTACCTACCTATTTATCTCTCTATCTATCCACCAACCTACCTACCTATTTATCTATCTATCTACCTACCTATTTATCTTTCTATCTATCTACCTAACAACCAACCTACCTATCTATCTACCTACACGCCTACCTACCTTACCTATTTATCTATCTATCTACTATCTTACCGACCAATCCAACCTACCTATCTATCTATCTACCCAATCGACCCACCTATCTATCTATTTATCTATGTATAATTCTGGTCTACAGAATCACTTTCCATATGGGTCTCGCTTCACTGTTGTTATGCATTCCTTGCAATTGATGCAAAAGAGGACGAGGCAATTTTAAGAGAGGAGAGAGACCAGGAAAAATAGTTGGGTATGTAGACGGGGAGAGAGGGAGGGAGAGAGGGAGGGAGAGAGGGAGGGAGGGAGGGTTGGAGAGGGAGAGAGGGAGGGAGGGAGGGACGGACGGAGGGTGAGAGGGAGGGAGGGAGGGAGGTTGGGAAAGAGGAAGGGAGGGAAGGAGGGAGGGAGGGAGGGAGGGAGAGAGGGAGGGAGAGAGAGAGAACTAGAAGGTGACCGGCAGACCAGCAAAAGGAAAAGGAAAACCAAACAAAGAACGGAAGAAAGAAAAAAAAAACGAAACAGAGGAAATGATGAATGCAATAATAATTCATTTTTCTGTATATATGAATTTAAACATTTTTAATTTACTCTCTTCTCTTTATCTCTTCCTTTGCCCTGTCTTCCTTTCATTATCTTCTCTTCTCCTCTCTCTCTCTCTCTCTCTCTCTCTCTCTCTTTATTTTCTATTTTTATTTTTAATCCCCCCCCCCCTCTTTCTCTCCCTCTCTCACACTCCCTTTCTCTTTCCGTATCTCCTTATCCTATTCTTCTCCTTTCCTCCTTCATTCCCTCCCTCTCTCCCTCTCCCTCCATCCATCTCTCCCTCCCTTCCTCTCCCTCTCCCTCCCTCCTTTCCCCCCCTCCCCCTCCTCCCTTCCTCCCTTCTCCCTCCCTCCGTTCCCCCCCTCCCCCCTTCTCCCTTCCTTCAATCCCCCCTCCCCCTCCCTCCCTCCGTTCCCCCCCTCTCCCTCCCTCCCTCCCTCCCTCCCTCCCCCCCCTCTCCCTCCCTCCCTCCCAGCATCGAAAAATAGACAACCTTAACCTATTTTCAGCTCCGCCCACCCGGTGACGTCACTGCAGTAGGCGTGGCTAGGTCAGCCGTAAAACGTGTGCCATTCCAGAGAGAAAATTAAGTTGACCAATTATAGGTGTTACTCGCTGTTAAAAATGGGCGTGGTCCAAGACAGGGGGGGGGGGGAGAAGGTGGTGGGGGTGGGGGTGTTGGGGGGGCGGTATAAATATAGGGGAAGGGAGGATGGGGAAGTGAGGTGGGGAGGGGAGGGGAGGGGGGAGGGAAAAGGGAGAAAGGGGGAGTGAGAGAGAGAGAGAGGGGTGGGGGG